AAGCAATGTAGGGAAAGGTCCTGCGCAGCCAAGTGGGAATTACGGTAGCTTGCTAGTCCAGGACGTTGCACGTAATGATTGTTGCATTATGTTTGATACAAACCGATTTTTGATTTTTGTTATCCATAAATCGGAGAAATTGGAGAAATTTTATATTATTCTACAAGTAACTATTAAGCGGGAGAGAAACGTAAAAGAATAGTCTACCCTTTCTCAAGGGCTGCTGAATTATGAAAAGAGATGATGGCATGGAAACGAAAACTACTTTTCGTGAGATGGAAATAATATATATATATATATATATATATATATATATATATATATATATATATATATATATATTGTAGGTTTTTTATTTTATGATTTTTCTCCTTTTGAATTATTATTATTATTATATGTATTTCAAAATTAAATTATTTATTGATTTATGTTTGATAAAAAGGGTTGGTTGATGTGGTGATTCTATACTAATTTTGGATAAATTACAACAATCCCCTTGAAGTAACATGAAATAATGACTTGAAATAGTACGGATAACTGATTAAAAAAGAATATTATCATTAAATAATGGATTTGTGAAATTAAAAATAACCATTTATTAAAACGAAAAGAAGAAGATGAATAAAAGAAAGATTTTATAAAAACAAACATATAAATCAAATTAAATCCAAATAGTAGATATATTGTAGTTAAAAGAAGCTATCTATATTTATTTCAAGATATTATAATTATAGTGTTTTCAAGTTACAAAACATTAGATGTATTTATTTATTATTCAGTAACAACTTATCTTAATATTCACTAATTTAATTAATTAGTCCATTATTATGCTAATTAGTAATATTATTGTATAATTACAACTCAAAATGTGCAATGTTCATTTGAAAAGAAAAACAAATACTATTCATTTTGTACAAGGTAAATAAGTAATTATAAATTATTAAATAGATTCACTAAATGAATTGTAAGAGAATATTTTGTTTTTCTCATAATTAAATTATAATATCCGTATCCTAAAACCCTCCTAGAATGTAAATATATTGTAAAGATATTTTATTTAATTAATAAAAGTATATTTATTAAATGTGAGAAATAAAGTTTAAACTTTAATTAAGAATAAAGTAAACATAATTATGATTGAAAGAAAATATCAATAGAATAAGGAATATTGGATTAGAGATTGACATCATAAATTTTTATGGTTATGCTTCGACATAGGGGCATAATTGTAAAGATTAAAAGTTTAGGTCCTTGATTAAAATGAGTAAGAAAATTTAAGGACTTAAATTATTTTTGAAATAGGTCTAGGATGAGGGCCAAATTGATAAAAATTGTGAAGTTACAGATTGAAATTGGAGGGTCTAATTGTAAAGATTAAAATTCTAGGGACTAAAGTGTAAAATGCTAAGGTTTTTGGGGACCAATTAAATAATTTTGAGGAGATTATTCCAGAAATTATTAGTCTGGAAATGAGGAAGAAAATATCTTCTTAAAGTCAGCAAAGGAGAGGGAAGAAAGGAAGACAAAAATCGAGCAAAACTCTAAGGAAAAAAGAAGAAAGAAAAAGGAAAAATCAAGAAAAATATAGAGAAGGCATAAACAACCAAGCTTAAGATTAATCCACGTGTGGAAAAAATGGCTTAATTTTATGAAAAAACCTTGGCTATGAATAAGAAAGAAGAAGAAAGGGAGGTTAGAAATTTTAGATGTTCAAGCCGGACCAAAAAGAGAAGAGTTTAACCAAGAGATAAATCACCAAACCACCTTAGGCAACCTTGAAACACTCCAAAATCACCCTAGAACCAGATTAGAGGAGCAAACAAAAAGGAGGAAAAACTTTGGTTTGGGCCAAAATTTTGAGAGGAAAAGAGGTTCGAGGAAGAAGTTCAAGCCAAAAGGAAGAAAGATTTGTTTAGCAATAAGTGAGGTAAGTGTAATCCTCACTATATCATAAAAAATTTGTGTTTTTTTATGTATATTTGATGATAAGTCGAAGTTATATTGCTTGAGGTTTAATGGTTTAAGTGTTGGTGAAACTATAGTGTTTGGTAGTTGTATTGATGGATATGCAATTATGTGGTTTGAACTCGTGATTATTTGATATTTAATTGAATTAAATGATTGAGTTTTGAGGTTGTTCTTGTTCTTATAACAAGGTGGTTGGGTTTTCTTAAGTTTTAATAAATTAAAGGTTTTAAAACCTAACGTTTGCAAGATGTTTAATGAAGTGCTTAAAAGATGTTTATGGTGCTAAGTTGGAAAATTGAAACTTTGTCACTTTAGGATAAATTTCAGCCAAGTAAGAAGATTTTGATTGAGTGGGAACTTAACCTATTTGATGTTAAAATGTTGAGGAACATATTAATTTAAGAGGTTAGAGGTGAATAATTGAGGAAAAAAGAAAGAAATGGAAGTTGTCCTTCCATTGGCTAATTTCGCCCAAGAATGAAAAACAAAGGAAAAAATGGTTAATGAGAGGTTAATATTAATTTTGAGGTTTAAAGGTATAAAATGATATGAAAAATGATTGTAATCATATGAAAATGGATGGATTATGTTTCTTAAATATTCGGCCATAATATGTGTTTAAGGCATGAATTGTGTTTATTGATTGTTCATGTTTGCATGCATACTTGTTTTATGTGCAACATGTATTTGATGTATGATTATTTACATGTTCTCGAGGATTTGAAAGTATGCATATTGAGGTTTATATTTAATGTTTTTACACATCATAATCATGAAATAGATTTTACATTCATGATTTTGATGAAAGGAAAAAAAAAGGCTTTCAATAAGGAATAGCTTGGTACCTTCTTGAGGTTATGGGAGAGGAATGATCACCCTCTCTTGAGGAAAATAGGCATGCTTAGTGTGTTGAAGTTATGAAAAGCTACTTAGTGCTTTTTGTAATTTTCACAAATTGCATGCTTTAATAGAGGGCCGATTATATATACAATTGGCAAGGTGCGTCCGAATAGAAAAATGAATTTCAAAAGCATGAAAATGTTTTTATAAAAATTGCATCATGCTTATCACATGCATTGCATGAATTACACTTACTCGAGCATTGCTCACTTTTGTTTCCTATGGTGTAGGAGAAAAGAAAGATAATTAAGGACCATCATAGAAATAACTTGAAGACTTGCCCTCTCTGTGTGCTTCCTATATTAAATTGTGAGGAACTTTTCCTTTGCTTAACTAAAATTTGGGTTATGTTTATTTTGTAGTAAGTTAAACAAATGGTGGTACGTATTAATGCATGGTATGGTTAAAAGTTAAAGTTTGATATTATGATATGGATAGATTATTTACATAACTTGTTAAACTAAAATGGTTACTTGGTTAATCAATGTGGTTTAAATGAAATAATTGATTATAGAAATGAATTAATTAAAGGAATAACGAATGTAATAGTTACTTAAGTTAGTAACTAAAAGTTGATGATAAAAGAATGTGAGCTTGAAATAGTATGGTTAATTGAGTTTGTAAGGTAAGGTATAAAGTGAAGTTAAAGATTAAGGGATAAAAGCATTTTATGGATTAGTTTTAAATAAACTAGGAACCCAATTTCCTTAAGTTCAAAAAAATGTTTTAAATAGCCAAAATATTAGTTAAACATCTAAATGAATTTATTAAATGTTTTATTGAATTTTTGGAATAATTTCCTAGCCTATGGAATTTTTATAAAAATAATGGCATTAAATATTGGTTTAATGATCACTGTTCATTGATTATTTCCTAATTGAATATAATAAATGATAATTAAATTATTTTGAGATATATTGCTAGACCTTCCGAGCTATTCTAGATAAATTGGTAGTTGATTTTGGGCTTGAGCTTTTCAAAAAAAGTTGTAGGTCTAAATATCCTCTTTCTAGGAACTTTTGAATAACTTCAATCCAATGTCTATAACTATAAATATGATTCAAACAATGATTAGTGTTCCGAACTTATGAGATCTGATTTTTTTAAATCTGATTTTGTAATCAACTTTGATAACCAAGATCAACTTGCATTTGTGCATTTAAAGCCAACTTAAAAAAGCTTAAGATATATCTTTTTCAAATTTCAAATGCATTTAAAGCTAACTCAAAAGCATAAGATATAGATTTTAAATTTCAAGAAAGCCCCTTATATGTTATTGAACTCTAAGGATGTAAAATTCTTTTATCTTCTTCTAAATGTCAATATACCAATATTGTGAAATTTCAGTATTTCATTTTTGCTCATTTACCTCTAATTTTCTCTTAAATTAAGGATATATATATATATATATATATATATATATATATATACCTTAAAAATACATTAAAAAACTAAATATAAGAGATTAAATATAATTAATAATGTTAACTATTAGCGAGGCAGAGTAAAGTGCTTTTAGACTGGTAGCATGTGTACTTTTCTTGATTAAGTAGCGGGGTGCCTGAAGCCATCTTTTTGGGAGACATGGTTGCATGGGTGGACTAAGTTCAACTTAATGTCTTGCTTGCTGGTTAACAAACATTATCTTGCCGTTTTCATTCATAAGCAAGATGTGCACCCAGAATCAGATCAAAGACAGTCTTTTGCGATGTTCTTTGAGTTTTCTTTTCTTCCTTTATTATTTTGTTCTTTCTTTTCTTGTGTCAGACAGTTAATAAATCTTTCAACAAATATTCCATTGAACGACCTATCTACCTATATATGTTGCTGATTAATATGTTTTCAAATTATGACCGATGTTATTCTTCTCTGTTCTCTTATTTTACTTGCAATCTAAACTGAATGCTGCTGATAAGGCTAAAGTTCATCAATGAATATAGACAAGGAAAAATCTCAAAGCACTATATTAATAATATAGATAGTTGAATTAGGAACTTAAACTATCGAAAAAAGCAACTAACAATCAAAAAAGTTAAATTACTACCAAGAGAATGCAGGAGTCCAACCATATGACAAATAAACATCAAAACTGATGTACTCTATATATAGTGGACTTCATGCTACTATAAGATCTAGCAGCAGAAAACATCCATATCTAAAAATTTGCATTTGTTTGAGCTAGGACTGATTTCCTTCTCTTTATAATAAGTATTCAGTGCCAAAAGAGAAGGCCTGAATTGGCTAGTGAAACTGCCTCTGGAGTCGAAGAAATCCTGCAGGTACGACTCTGATCTTGTCTCCTTCTTCTTATAATTGTTCTTCTTAATCTTCCAATCCCAACCAAATCTGTTTTTCCAGTTGCCACAACTTTTTGTTTCAGAGGCATATCCAAACTCTTCCGCATACCTCTGCTTCCATAAATCACCGTTCGAACACAAAATCTGCATCTCCGAACTAACGCATGCCATTCTTGCAACATCGGTGGCAGGAAGTAACTCCAAAATCTTGCGCTTTAAATAAGATGACAGGCGCATAAAGCATGGTGGAAGGGTCGCACCAGTCTTTTCGGATAGTTGTATGGACAATGGCAAAACGAGCTGATCCTTGACAGTTTTCCATAAATCATAAACTTCCCTCATCTTATCCTCATCAAGACAATTTCTCCTCAGCAAATCCAAAACTGGGGCAAATCTATTCTGATCCAAAGTCAGATACAACTTTGACCTACTCTCTGTCAAAGACCCTGAAACTACAACACAACCATTGATCACCCTCCGGATATTCAAAACAATTGATTCAGAAACATCTTCCTTGTCCAAAACTTCCGGAAGAGTATAGGAAACTGACAACGGGGTAGCGGATGAAGGCCACTCTTCAGGGAACTGAAGTCCATTAACACGTGTTCCAGATACCGAATCGAATCCAACAAGGCCGGACTTCAAGAAAGTTTCATGAACAGCAATAATCAAGAGGTCAAGAACATCACTCTCATCACCTAATACACTCCTCAAGATAGAAGGAGGAGAGAACCTCTCGCAGGCCATATCTTTATCCATGAAATCAAAAAGAAAACGAAAGAGTACTAGAACTTTATTGAACAAACCAACAAAATCAGGTTTTCCACTTTTTTCAATGACTAGGGTTTTTTCTCTCTCACACACAGTGACTAGGGTTTTTTCAATGCTTTGTCACAGACGAAAGATTAACCTGACACAGTAACGCATATAAATACTCTTTTAAACCGCCTAAGAATGTAGCTAACACTGATACGGATTCTACTAAAAAACTTAATCCTTGTTAAATTAGGAATTTAAACATGGCAACAAATATCCATTCTTGGTTAGGAAAATACTTAAATTTTCCACAACTTTTTATTTTTGAATTAACAAAACCAAGTCTTGTGCGACAGCCATTCTTGATTTATCTCCAGAAGCAGGACAGGCCAACTCATATGGTTTTGGGCCTTCGTAGGATGGTTAATCTTGGTTCTAAATTAACATCATGAATTGAGTGGACCCGGCAGAATTTGGGCTAATCTGGCCCAATAAAGAAAAGAAGTTGCCGAAGCATCTACAGAGCTTAAGCCCATCGTTACGTTTAGTTTATTCACTGGACTGGAGTGCATTTCCTCTGACATTTATTAATTTATTTCTAAATTGCATACCTAACAGCAAGGAAAGAAACTTAAAAGTAGTAGTAGTAATAATAATAATAATAATTTAACCTATAATTAAAATCAAAAGTAACTATGAAACACACGCCATTGCCCAAAATGAAAAAGAAAAAAGAAAAGAGAAGAACGTACGTAAAACAGGAGGAAGAAGAACCTGCACAAACATTTTTAGTATTTTTTTAATAGTTTTGATATCAGTATAACAAAAATCATTCAAAAGTATATGAAAAAGATATTAATTTAAAATTTTTTTTGAATGAAATATATTTTTTTAAAAAAAAAAACTTGCAAACGCAATTAAAAAACATGACTAAATGCAGTCTAACTGCTTCTTTCTTGGTTTGGATATATTTTATTCTTTCTTTAGATTTTTCTCCATGCATGTTGGCTGTTTTTGCATTATGGTGTCCTTCATATATATATATTTTTGACTTATCCAAATAATAATAATAATAATAATAATAATAATAATAATAATAATTTCTAGTTAAGCATAAGCTGAGAGAATTTGTAAATATATAATTCAAACAGTTAAAAGGTGTATGGAAATATTATATTATGCCTCAGGAATTTTGATTCTGTCAAAAGAATAACTAAGGATTATTTTTTATTATTTATTTTGCACTAGAAAAATTGTTGGTTCGGATGTTTTCAATTGTAAAAGGTAACTTATACAGTGAGCTCTTTTTTTCTTTTTCTTTTTTTCATATTTATATCTTCTTCTTTTTTTCATATTTATATCTAAAGATCCAACTTTTTCTATAACATATGTTGAATAACTCAACAATCTTTTTTTAACATATTAGGTGTTAAATTGGTTATTTCTCATCAATTTCTATGATATTAATACACGAAAAATTATTTAACTTAGACTTTAATACTAGTATTTGGTGTTATTGGGTTTTGTTAACCAAACTTACTCAATGATTAAGGTTTTCTCTTACACTTTTAACTAAGTATTCAGTTATTTTCATAACTAAAGTGGAATAACTCAACAAAAAATAATGTGCTTATCCTAATTAGGGCTACAATATATAAAATTAAAAGAAGATCGTACATCAAATAAATCTTAAGAAAATTATTAGAGAACCTATCTTATATCAAATAAATAAATGATAAATAAGTAATATATAAAATTGAAAAGTGTCACTTACATAAGGTTTAAGTATTTTGAATGGAATCTAATCAAAATTATCAAATTTTATATAATATTATAACTTAGAAGAGATCCAAAGACTCAATAAAAATAGATTATAAATAAGAAAGAATGCTAAAAAACTTATTTCATATCGAATAGTGTAGAAATGATCATCCACTAATAAATTTAAATTAAGAAATGATCATCCACTAATAAATTTAAATATTTTAAATAGAACTTAATTTAATTATTACATTCTATAAAAATTAATTATTTGTCATAAAATTTAAATTTTTCACATTAAACGAAAACTTAAATATCAAATTTAATAAACAAAAGAGAATTGAACTAATTAATTGAGAGGAGGACTCGGTCTAATTAATAGTATTCATTTTCCCTGTGGTCATGTGCGAGTTTGGCCTAAAGATGTGCTTTCCTAGTTTTGTTTTTTCTTTTTTAATTAAAGTAACATGATTATGCTGTTAGGATAGCATCAAATACCACACTGTGATAGTTATCATATTGTTAAGATAACTATCACGTACATAATAAATACTGGAAGGTCTACCATAAAAGTATAGCATAGCTAGATGGAAGGTCTAGCTTAGAAGTCGAGCATAGCTAAAAGTCTTCTACCTATATATATATATATACATATCACACGTAAACGGTAACATGCACAATACAAAACATATTCTTCTCTCGCCAATCTCCACATGGTATCAAGAACTTAAGCTACGATCCACTCGCAAATTTTCTTTTCTTTTTTGTTTAGCCCTTTATATTCCCCACACTCCAACATGACCTCCTCTTCCCAAATAGTTCCGGTTCTACCAGCATCATCCTCCCCATCTAATGCTCATCACACCTTCTCTGTCAAGTTAACTGCTACAAATTACCTAGCATGGAAAGCACAATTCTTTCCCCTCCTCAACTACTAAAATTTAACTCGGATACATTGATGGCACTACTCGTCGCCCCACCCAAAACAATATCTTCTTCCGACGATCCAATTGTTACCTCCCCTAATCCTCGCTTATCACATCCGGTTCCAAAAAGACCAAATGCCGCACTCATGGCTACTTTCTTCTCTCACCGAGGACATGTTCTCTTATGTTATCGATCTCACTTCTTCCTTCTAGGTCCGGACTACCTTAGCCAACGCCTTTGGCTCCATCTCTCACAATCGCCAACTCCAACTCAACATTGCATTACAGGAACTCAAGAAAAACGACCTCTCCGTGATCGACTATCTTCAAAGGGCAAAGTCACTAGCTAATGAGTTGGCCATAGCTGGCCGTAGAATGACACCGACGGAGTTCAATGCAATTATTTATTGCAACATCCAAACCGAATATCATAACATCATCACTCGCTCTCATCTACGTCCGTAACTAGTCTCTTTTCATGAACTACATGGCCACTTGGCGGCTCATGAAATTCTCCTCAGGGGACTTATGAGAGTCCCATGGCTCACTTTGTAAATCGAACCGGACCCTACCGCCCACGTCTTTTTCATCACTCTTTCTTAGAACCATGCAAACAAGCAACAACACTTACCGCAAAAACAGTGGACCATGCCAAATTTATGGTTTGCAAAACCACACTCGCCGATCGATGTCGTCATCGCTATTCCTCTCATCCATCTCCTCATCCACAAGCAAATGTAGTGTTTGGCACAAACACAATGGTTTGCCCATTTGCATCCGCCCCGCCATCATCATATGGAAATCACTCTCTACCTCATGCATATAACTCTAGCATTGCACTTCATGCTATAAGCAGATCCTTCTCGGACATGGCATCTTGATACCGGAGCCTCCCACCACATCACTCTAGATCTCTCTACCATGAATATTGCACACGATTACGGAGGCTCGACTAGCTCATCGTTGCCAATAGCCAAGGTTTGCACATCTCTCACTCGGTATGTCTTATATCCACACACTCAATACCAAATTTTGTTAAAAAATGTTCTCCACGTACCACAAATATCAAAACCACTATTGTCCATTAACAAATTCACAATTGACAATAATTGCTACCTTGAATTCTGGCCTAAATACTTATTAAGGATCGGGTGACCAAGGTCACCCTATTCAAAGGCCCGAGTGAGCGTGGCTTGTATCCAATGGATGGTGGAACCGTAGAACCAAAAATTGCTTGTCATGGTGAGGTCTTCTCCTTGGAACGGTGGCATGCACGCATGGGACATCCTCGGCTCCGTACAGATCCATAAAGTTCTCAAAGCCAACCAAATAGCATCAACTCCATCACCTTCCTTTAAGTGCTCCTCCCGCCATCCGGGCAAGTTAGCTTGCATTCCGCTTGCCTCCGTTGAACATAAGAACACTAAAACCTTTCAAATAATTTACTCGATGTCTAGGGTCCTGTCCCAATTTTATCCTCCTTAGGTCATAAGTATTGTTTGTTATTTATTGATGAATTCACCGGTATACCCGGATTTATTTTCTAAAGAACAAGAGTGATGTTGTTTCTAGTTTTCGACATTTCAATGCATATGTTGAACGTCAATTTAATTCAAAAATTTTAGCTTTTCATTCGATTGGGGTGGTGAGTATAAAAAATTAAATAGAAACTTTAAAACTCTTAGAATCATTCATAGAATTGCTTGTCCATATACTTATGAACAAAATGGAATTTCGTAAAGGAAAATTTGACATTTAGTTGACACTCGGTCTTACTCTCCTAGCCCATGCTTTTATTCTTCTAAAGTATTGAAATTATGCCTTTGATACAGCAATATCACTCATCAACCAACTTCCAAGCCCCGTCATTCAAAATCATTGTCCATACCAAAAATTGTTTGCAAAACTACCATCTGCTCGCATCTCTAAAAGTTTTTGGCGAGTGCCATTTATCCACTTCTTCGACCCTATAACACTCATAAATTTTTAAATCACACTACAGAGTGTATTAATCTTGGCCTCTCACCCACCCATCATGGATATCGCTGCTTGGATATTCAATCCGGTCGTGTCTACACTACACATCACATAAAATTCAATGAACAATTATATCCCTTTGACAATCGTAAATAGGAACAAACACATAGAAGCCGAGGCTATAAAATAAAGTTAACGACCAAAATGAACATTGCAAATATCATTCCGATGCTACTGGACATAATATCGATAGTTTTCCCGCTTTCAAGAAGAGGCTCTTGGCTTTGATTAAGAAAGGATGGATCAACCTTGATAGTTTTTCAAATACTTGTGATGTGA